AAAAAAAAAAAAAATCCAGGTTAACAATTAAAGGACTTACGCATACAAGAAATAAATGTTAAAACATAAGCTTTCAAGTAAAGTCTACTGTAAGAACCAAAGATATTACTGGAATCCAAATAGTTATTTCCCAACAATTTTCCCAACAGACCTTATCTTCTCCCACCTTTATCCTTTTTCTGCACTTCACCTATCATACTTATTCCTCCGGAGTTCAGTTCAGGTCCTGTCTTCTAGAAAGCACTGTCAGGTATGCTTGAACGCTGTTTTACCACACAGGTGCTGGCCAGGGTATACTGCTATTATAGCACTTATCACATTGTATAAATAACTACTGATTTGACCAGTTTGAGAGACAAACTTTAAACTTACTGAAAGCAGGAAACATGATGTATTTAACTCTGCATCCTATGAAGATGAGACATACAAGGCATTGGGAAGATCTTTTGTGGCAGTAGTGAATATGAAACTGTAGTAAGAAATGTAGAACAAAACTGAAGTTAAAGACTATTAGCAAAACTAAGAAAGTCTTGAAAGCAGAAAGAGTGCTATACAACAACATAAAATTTTAAAACTGAGAAAGCCTAAATCTAACTGATGAAATTAATTCCAGGGTCTACAAATTACCTACTCAGAACAAGCCATTTCCATGTTATTTTCAAGACACTAAACAAATTAAAGATGTATCTTAATCAGCTTTGAAATTAATTAAAATTATAGGACTTCTAGGTAGTAATGGAAGGCAATTAATATATTTAAACATTAGAAGTCTTCACAGTACTATAAACACAAAATAGACTGCCAAAAGGTTAATTTCACACAGGGACTCAATATCACCCTTTTAAAAGATCTCCTTTAATGTTTTAGCTACAAGCAATACATTAACCCTTTCCTATATAAAATCCTTAAACTTACTGAAGGTAGTACCTCTTTGCAATCAGTACTGATCTTCAGAGAAGTCAGAATGAGATATATAGTGCGATATCTAATCAGTTTTCTTTTAAATCTTGATAATGGGAACCACATACTTTCTCAAGAAGCATATATATCACCAACATCTCAAAAACCTTAAGGCTCTTTGTAATTATAATTTTTTGTGTGTTCGAATTTTGCTGAATTAAAGATGCTGTACTAAAAAGTTGGGAGAAAATACTCAAATAAATACTATTTTACCTTAAAATAATGCAGTTCCCTATTTTAAAACGTAACAAGTTTTTCAGACTCACTTGTTTCTGTCAAACTGCATTAATGAGCAACATTTCAGAACGTAACAAGTTCAAGCATATCACAGGTCATTTGTAAAAAAAAGAATTTCCACATTTTAAAATCAAGTTTTGACTGGGAAGTAGAAAAACACAAAAGTTTAACTTTTAATAGAGAAAAAATTTTTAAAGATCATTAGGACACAAATTTAATGTTACATAACGTAACAAAAAAGAGCGCACTCAATAGTTAAAATAGGGATACAAGGAAAGCAGATGGGTTACATTCATACTTTATTCTATTGGCCCTAAATTATAGAAAGAATGTCTAATGCATAACACGAAATGCATGAATATTTGAAATACAAATATGCATGAAATACAGCAAGTGGAAAATAAGTTATCTACCAACTTAATATTTGTAGGGCTTATTTCTTAAATACCACATAAAAGTATATTCTATTGCTCTACTGCTAAATTATAGCCATATTCATATATTCATCTACAAAATACTCCCCACCAGCCTATTTCCTATCATAATTGATATTTCATAAACAAGTTCAAGAATTTTTGCATCAAATCTGAGCTACAAACTTTAGAACTCACTAAAGAACTTGTGAATTAATTGGTTTGATTAGTTGCTTTTTTATTGTTTTAGGGTTGTTTTTTATTTTTGGTCTTCTTTTGTTATAAATATACCAGCAACTATTCAGAAGATTTTTTTTCATATATGAAGGACACAAGAATGACACAATAACCTGAATTTTAAGAAACTCTTTTAATCTTCACCCTTCAAAAACCACGCATTCATCAACATATATACTTTTTTTGTCAAAATACAGTAAGGTTTTGTATTTAAATATCTTCTCATTATAAGACAAATAAGTTTTTTTAACTGCTTAAAAAGCACAAGGTTCCAGAATTCCAGAAACGTTACATAACAAATACTGAAAACCAAGCATACTTTCAAAACAAATACGACTGAAATTTACTCCTCAAAATATCTAATTTTTATTCACCCTCCTTCCAAAATCCATATGGATAAACTAAAGCACAAAATATACCGGCAACTATCTGGAAGCCATCCTTGGGTGTATTCAACTAACAATTCCAGTTTATGTGTGGTAGGTTAAGGAGTTGGGGGTGTGGGTCATTCTACTCCATCTCAAGTCACAAAAGAAAAAGTAGTATTTTAAAAGCACGATTCTAGCAAACATAACAAAAGATTAAAAGCTAAAAAAAAAAAAAAAAACCCAGCTGCAAATAATGTATCTCTTAGCATCACTCTTTAATCCATAAAAATTTCTAACAAAAATTCTAAAACTTGAAAATTTTGTTTCTTCAGAAACTGAGTAAGCACCTTGAGAAAATGCAGCACCTTTTAAGGCCATATCCAAAACTAAGAAGTCAAGACTCTTTCACATGTCAGCTTTCCGTAACATTTAACTCATTTGAAAATTACAAACCCGAGACAAAAACCTTTAATTCTGTGTTCTATTTTTCAAATACACATTCATAACAACATAAAAATTTTGGGGTGAGCTTTATGTCCAAAAAGGTACAAAAGTTTTACCCATATTCACTCTAAATTCCGTATGTGAATGATCATTTATGTATCTTACTCTTAAAAATTGTCATTGTCTCAGAAAAAAAAATCACACTTTGTAAAGTTTAAACTATAAATATAAGCTTCCGAAGGTTACAAATTGTAAAAAATGGCTAAATCTCTTCAAATACATAGTAACAAATAGCCTGGAGGAGTACCAGTGGACATTAAATATATTAGGGTCTTTAAGAATTAAAACTATCAGTGTCGATAATCTAGATACTAAAATATTTGGTTATACAGTATGACTTAGAATTCTGAAAAAACAAAAAACTTCTGATTCAGTAATCCCTGAGTAGATATCAGACTCCCTGCTATCGAAGAAAAGTGTACAAGATTACAAAGGTTTACGTTTAGAGACTACTGGTAGTTTTTGCCGAGAGAAACAATATATACACAGTGCACATCTGCAACCTAATTTTGCTTCAGCATCCCCAGAGACTTGAAAAATATTTTGGGGGGTAGGTTGCAAAACAGTTCTTCCTCTTTTATTCTCATCGCACCCGATGATACAAACCAACTGAGAGACAAAACCAAATCGCCAACTGCAAGGGCTGAATTTAAAACACACACACAAAGCATCTTCTCTCCAACTCCCGAATCGGTATTCAATCCACCTGTTCGTATATCCACACTACCACAATAACACCAACCCTCTGAGAGAGAAAACACAAAGGCAAATTAACGCTTCGGAGGAGTCACAATTCTACCTAGGCGTGGGGGAGGGGATGGCACAAGACAATGGATACGGAGGGGCTGGGAAAAAATCGTTTTGCCCCGAAGCCTCTGGCAACGAGCTGGGGCGGGCGGCGGGGGGGGGAGTTCAGACTACTTTTCCTCTATCCCTGAAAGCCAGCGCCAGAGACAGCCAGCGGGCACGTTCCACC